GTATCTACGACAAGCGACATGGTCCTTGGATGTTGAGGAGAAGTGCGTGCCGCGGCTAATGGAAGGCTCCCATAGCCACTTCACGGCCGCAGGAGTTCTCGCGGGAGCGGACGTCCGTCAGGAGGACGTGCATGGAGTGGAGCGAGTTGGTTAAGATGTTCATGTGACCCGTTGTCTGCACAGTCGAACATTCGACGTGCTGAACGGGCCTCAAACTCCGAGATACTTTCAATTTTGAGATCTCTCGCGATGCCGTCATTCCTGACCTACCACTCCGCTCCCACGATTACACGCAGGGCGAGGTTTTGCTGCGCCTGTAATCTATTTCTCTGCTTGGCAGATAGCAGCCCATACCACGCCGGGGCTGCGTAGGTCAGGCGGGAAAGAATATATGTTTTATAGATTCCTAATTTGGTTTTAAAGGTATCTTGGAGACCAGGACAGGATAGAGCTTTGCTCTCGCTGCTCTGGCCTGTTGGATCAGATGGTCGGTCTGGGGGACCATCCGCAGCGTACGATCTATCCGGCATCCAAGATACGTCATAACGTTCTGGGTGTTGATCACCTGCCCACGCAGCTCAAGCGCGGACATGTTGCGAATGCGCCTGATGTATATGGTGGACGTCTTGTCAACATTGACAGACATCCGCCATTTATCGAGCCATTCAGGAAGTAGGTTAAGTTGGCGCTGCATTTTTGTCGCCGCATGCGCCGCACTTCACGAGGACGAGGAGGGACTTTCATCCCAATACCAGTCGGGGTTGGATTCTGCTGGAGTGGGCATGTCGTTGGTGTAGACTGCGTAGAGATGGGGTGAGAGGCAGCTCCCCTGTGGAACTCCAGCCTCTATTGCATGTGCTGCCGACTTAGCCCCGTCGATATGCACGACGAAGCTACGCCCCTCTCAGTAAGAGGCTAGTAGCCGCACCAGCGCAGCAGGGATGGACGTTGCTGTAATTAGCTTATAGATGAGGCCCACGTGGCACACTCTGTAGAAGGCCTTCTCCATATCGAGAAGGACCCCCAGACAGATACGGCCCCGGTTATATTGGGCCGCCACGGTGGCCACGCATCTGCAACTCGTAGGGGTGTTGCAAATTTCCATGGACGGCGGTTATCATATAAAAAAATAGTTCAATGATTCATGTACGTCATATGGAAGGGGATAATGATGTTTTGTCCTGGTAAATTCTAAGAAAAATGCTTTAAAAACTCAACTTCTTTTTAGGGTTGAGCTCGCCTTTGTGCATTATTTGTTTTTTGTAATTTTGTTTTCTCTTATACTCTGTGTACAATAAAGAATAAAAAAGAAAAAAAGAAAAATGCTTCGAGTTTCTTGATATTATCGACGTACTCGTAAATTATTTATGTGGTTGCTTTATGAAATACAATGATTTTTGAGAAATTAAATACCTATAATCGTACATCACACGGTGTTTCTGTTGTTTAATCCCTGCTTGTCTTTCAAAAATAAATCACCATAGAAGTATTAGTGATGGATGGGGTTCGGCATAAAACAACATCCGGACCACATAAAACAGTTCCTGTTTAGTTTATAAACTATAAACGATTAATTATGATTCCCCCTACAAAAACGCTTAAAAGATTTAAGTGTGGTGAAATATTATACGCGGCTACCCAGAAGACGTATGTTCGAATCCGCCGAAAGTTTTTATTCATTTATGTCGAAAAATTCACATTTTACTTTTCATCTTGAATGCAGTGACTATAAAAAGAAATCAAAATAAATCCTAAAAGTCTCTTTTCTTTTTCTTTAAAAATCTCTTTTTAGTTTTAATACGATTCTAGTCTAAAAACTAGGCACTTCTGATTCTTGGCTTTTCTCGTCATTTTCGAGCATCACTGTACCTTTTCATCTTACAATATTTTCCTTAATGGAAGCAAAGGACAAATAAAGCATTGCGTACTGTCAAATGTCATTGGATTAGTCACCGGTGTGATGTCACAGCAGTAGAGCTATAAACGGCCGACGCCGGTTCGTATAAATAGACAATATCCTGATAGAAATCGCCTGCGGCAAAATATGTGACCTGCGATATAATTTAACGTCGTCAAATAGAGAACCAAACACCAAAGACTATTAGAAATAAACACAACTTTGCTGTCTTATATCGTATAAACAGTCGGAACACTTATAAAGTAGTAACCGAAGTGGGTTATAGTTTGCATGATAAAATATTTTTAAAGGCGTTAGAATTGAAAGTTAACATTATACTAAGACTATATAAACGATGTACGATATATACTTCAAGATAATTGAAATATACACATTCATAAGATTACAGAACAACATTTATGGTGATACTCATTAGGCTTGCATGATTTCAATTCCGTATTTTCGTCTCTCATCCTCAAATTTACAATTTACGTGTTGGTGTCGATTTTTTCCGACGGATATACAAAACAGATGCGACTGATCAAATTCTTACGCGAGGACACTACAACAAGCGGACGGACACAAAACGGAGAACCTTTCGCAAATGATTGCTCAAGTGCAGAACAATTCGCCTTGGCGCATTGCAAATGAAATAGGACTGCCGCGATCTCTCAATTAATGAGCCATTATGAATGCTGTACAACTGGTTAACGGTTAATTGTTATCTGTTTTATATAATGCGTATTTCAACAGTTAACTTTAATAACGTACGAAACGTTGTCCTGCATAAACAGTTAATCCTATGCTTCTTACATATTTCCTACATTTCTGTACCTAGTTTTATAGGCCATCGTGAAGAATGTACATGCGATTATATTTTCAACCCATGTTGGGTATGTGTATGCCGATGGACAATAGAAACCAAGTGAAATGATTGCTCAATGGCCATTTTCTCTTATAAAAAACGACTTTATAGGTATATCTTCTGAAAAAAATGTATCTAACGTTCCAAACTACTTCAGACATCTTGTTTTTAGTCCATAAACTGAGTGCAACGTGTGAGGTTTATCTCCGTGGGAGTGGTGCTATCTGTGTTTTGGACTAAGGCACTTAACTCGCCAAAGGTATTTCGTCGAAGTTAATGATAATCCTTTAAAAGATTCGATACATTTTATTATATCATTAATATAAAAATTAAATATTTGTTCATTCACTCCACAAATTTTACATAATAATTAATACTATTTAAAAGTAGCATCAATTACATTGAAAAGTCAAAAGAAAAGGTCGGCAGTCATACTAGTATAAACTGTGTAACAGTTTATCGCCTTATCACCTGAATACAGATTACTATTTACCAAATTGTCTCGTGAGAATTTAGTTTTTACTTTGTTTACTTTGCGATTTACACTTCGATTACAAATTTTTAGTTTAGTTTACTTCAAGTCGTTTTGAAAATAAAAATAGCTCAATGTCAGTTTTATCCAATGCACAAGCAGTTAAAATATATTGATTAAATTGTGGTGTATTTTAACTTTAAATTAAGTTAAGTTTCGAATAATTTAGAGAATTCATGGTCGGAACTGTGTCGGCTTGATACGTCAGAAACGATCACGTCGGCAACGTCGATAGTGCAAAGCTGAAATGAACAGCGATAAAATCAGTAAATTATTTTTATTAAAATGTACAATATCCACAGAAACAGTTACATCTATAAAATACTAATACAGGTTCAGATCCATTAAGTAATGCTAATCCAGTTCCGGATTCATTAACTAAAACAGGATAAGTCATAAAAGCTGACGAAGAAGAGTACATTACGACTGTAATCACATTTAATTTTATTGTATCTAAACACGCGTCTAGATTCAGTAAAGCCTTATTTAACTGACTAATCGTTGCGAATTAGCCGTAAGTGGTCGAGTACCATAAAAACAGTAATTTCGAACGCGCAAACCTATTAAATGTGTCAAAGCTTTGAAAACAATTTCGAAGACTGGAATTAATAATGTACAATCGTCAATTGCAACAAAACTAGACGTGGAAGTAATTAATAAAATGGAAAACCCACTTTATTAAACAACTTCTGTCTCTTTCTCTTCATGTGGCAACTTGCAACACTAAGGGTGCTTCAAATGTCTATGGCCGACGGTTATCAGTTAACATCAGGTGAACCACCAGCTCGTTTGCCACTTTATTACATAAAAAAAACCTTTTTACACACCTTAGCCTTTTATAAAGCCTAGACCTGACACATAAATAAAATGCCTAACAACGACAACATAATCAACACTTTTACTGTGGTAGAATCATGCAGCATCTTCTGCTGCTTCACGTCCGGGGATGTACCAAGGCCTCGCAGAAAATTGAAGTATTTTACGGAAGAAAGAAAGAGTAAAACTTCAAGTAGATATTACTCTTTCGCGTTTCATCATGACTATTTTTAAAAGATTAGCAAAGCATCTTCTACCTATGTGGCACTGGTTATGAACATAGGCGGCTTTATTCATTTAACATCAGGTGCACCGCCTGCTCGCTTGCCAACTTTTTACATAAAAAACCTGTGGCACTCGGGGACTGCCGCGGTAAAGCTATTGCATAGCTTTTTTTATCAACTTATGCTATTATAATTATCTATTTTTTATTTATAAATTTTTTCTTTGATATTAATTAAAGTTACTCAGTTTTTGAGCGTGGTGACCGATAAGAAAACAATTTTTTTTTCTTTTATTGAATAAATGAGAAGTTAATATCGTTTAAAATATTTTTATCTTTCAATACATATAGGAAAACATAGGTTTATGGTAACTGAAATAAGAAACATAAGTTTGAGACTTGATACCCTCTAAAAGATATCATATCATCATATGATAATATAATATTATAATATCATATTATAGTTTCCATCCGTGCGAGCTTCGTACAGTCGTACCATATACATACATGTTAAGCGAACGCTCGGCCAAGCTACATAGAAGGCGGAGTTTAGGTTTTATTTTCGTTACGGAATTTCTTGACTAGGTCGTCGCGCAAAAAGCCCGCGAAAATTGCATAGCAATAGCTTAAAAAAAATAAGTAACAGTCTCCCTCTCCAACTGTACACATGGGATTTGTCGCACGAACGAACGAACCAAAAAGAAGACGACTCCGCCGAGCTCTTATTCGGACATCTGGAGCTGTGAAGAATTCGCACAGTCCAGCCGTAACGAAACCAATTCGATCGACGCCCAACGGATCCAATCTCGAGCGGGAACTTCGTGGGAACGTACTCGTCAGCAGAGATTACGCCACCTCCATTGGTGGTGCACCGGACAACTGTATGTGGGTTAGTAACACTTTAGTGGCGGTTAACAACTCGCCGGCCGAACAATGAAAGGCAAAAGGCGCTTTGTTTACGATAGTATCGATTTGCGCTCTCGAAAGTGTTGACGGGCTTGAAGTGTTTCTCGAATATTTCTCTCTGTTTGCAGAAACGGCGGAACAGTTTACGGTAGTACCAGCTCCAATAAAATAAATGGCAATTCCAGAACAGCTATCGAATATATACGCTATGTACACGAACAATTAAACAAACCAACATCAAACAACGATTACAATTACTGAAGTACTGTTAGACAAAACCAATTTAGGGATTTTAACGCCGTTTAATTGTAGTCATAAATTCTCGACGTCCCGAAGAATTCAGTCCATTCGTTGACCATGGTCGCTGTAAAGTTTTAACGAAACGTTACTATTAATTAAAAGCGATAAAATCCGTATTTTCATTAATAATGAATACTTCGATAGATACAAGCATACTAATAGTTATAAAAATAAAGTATTAACTTTAAAGAATTTGTTCAGATGACGGTGACTGTACAAGGAATATTATTAGGATGATTAAACTAATATTACGAACATACAAAATGAACATACAAATTAGTGAAAGAGAGGGAAGAGCTGATTAAGAGAGAAATAATCTAAGAGCAAAAGAAATTCAAATCAAATATCAAGTCGGAACAATCTCAAATAATATCGGATACTACAAAAAAAGTGTAATACAACACTGCTGACACCCTTTCGTTCTATTTACCTCGTTTAAAATTCTGATGTGAAACCTGATATAGAATAGGAAGAATCAAATTCGATACGCTATAACGCAAACGTTTCAATTGACTGTTACGTTATAATAGAAATATTTGTCTTGTCGTAACAAATTATTGGAATTTACTAAAACGAAAGAAGCTTTAGGCTTGTCTTATATGCATTGTATTATTATATTACCAATACCTCGCTTTTGGGAAACATTGAAAAGCAGAAATTAGTGTAAAAAACAGCCTACATATGTCCCACAGCTGGGCAAAGCCATCCATACACAGAGGAATTTTTGGCATAGTTCACTAAGTACATTACGACCATATAAAATAACATATGCAACAGCCCAAGCTACGCTAATGACTTATTAAATTTAACGGGTGCTAACGAACCCAACACACCAAAATAAATCTCACAGCACGATCCAATACAAGATAAGCGGGCAGGTAAGCCGGCGACCGGCTCACTCGAAGGTCAATGAGGCAAAATACAGTTCCGATTTAAACATACAGCATTGATCATAAACGCCGTCTTATGAAGTAACTAGTAACCGTTCAGTAAGGCAGAACTCGCGTGCGTCATATCGCGATATCGTGGAAGTGACGCTCGAATACGACGTGGTGTTCGACAGACTGTAACCGCCAGAGGTTGATAAGTACAAGGTAAGTAATCGGTCGACGCACAATTACACATTCACCTGTTTAGTTGAGTTATATAATATATCAATCAAATTCTCACATAATTCAGAGGGGATTACGAAAAGGAATATACATGCACTTTGGTTACGGGTATTGTTGCGAATAACAACAAATATATCTACTACTATGAACAGGTATATCAATCAATATTTTTTTATTTTCATGGGATGCTGTGGCAAAATACAAAACGGTTCACGCAGCCCGTACACATTTAGAATACATACAATTCTGCCGATACATTAGCCAACCTTTTACTAAAGTGGCTCCCTGTCATTTTAAACACAAGACAAAACGCTAAGATTCACACTGACCAACTAAGGCATGTCTAAAATTATTGTAATAGTTCTAATAAATCATCATATAAAATTGTCAGCCGAAACTTTTTAATTTTATATCTTAAATGAAACTAATTTTTCGGATTTATCGCGTTTATTTTTAATTTTAATTCCCGACGTTCCGAACCCTTTACAGCGTTCATGGTCACGGGACAGACTGAGGTGTTAGACGTCTGATTGTCATAGTTAACCCGGGCTACCGTCAGTTTTTGAATTATTAATTTTGTGTCCGATCTATGCAGAGGGAGCTAATTGTATCTTGTCTTGCAGTAGTGGTTCGTTTGGACCTAGATCTAGGATCCCAAGCTGATGGTAGTACCCAACCCTCTTCTCTATTGAAATTAAGGTGTTTTTTAAATTCAATAGCCTCGCGAATCATCCTTGGGAGGAATCGGTGTTCTTTTGCAAGGATCTGTAGTCTATCAAACCTGATGTAGTGGTTTGGCCGATTGAAGGTGTGCTCACAAACTGCAGACTTGTTCAATCGACTATGTTTTATGTCAGCTATATGTTCTTTCACGCGGGTTTTTATTGCTCTTTTCGTTAAAATCGTCGTAGCTGTGTAATCGCGTAAATACAAGAAATTATTATGCATTCATCTTAATCTCTACATTTCTGTAGCACAATTTTAAGACGTTTAAACTATTGATTTTTCATTCATTATCCCCCTTTTGTTATTTATATCCTTAAACTAAAGGCAGAACATTTAATTTATGTACAGAAATTAAAGCTAAGAAGCGTAAAAGTCCAACACGTGCAAACATTATAAGTGTCTTTGTATGATTGTTAAAAAAAAACTAAATTAAAATACCAGCAGCTAATTAAAATAATCACAGGATATGTAACCGTAGAATATGTTATACTAAACGAGCCAGCAAAATTATACAACCATCTCACGCGCGGACGAATTATGCCAAAACAAGATTGTATGAAACCATACAATTAATTTCGGAGTTCACACCTACCAACGGATTGCATCAGCAGCGAGCCGTCAATGGAAGCGTCGGCTGGGTGTCGGAGCACGTCACTATTACATCGTGAACAATTGAACATGGCTTGCAGTGACGGCCTGTAAACGTTGTTAAAATTGTGGGCGGGCTTACGGCTACAGGCGGATACGTATTACACGGGCCAAGTTGACAGACGCCGATTGAAAATGACGCTGAGGTAGCAATGAGCGTGTCAATTGTGAAGTTCAGAAAATGAATGCATAGAGAATGTTACTTTTCGAATTTAGTACGGTACGTGAGGATTTCAGGAAAGGAACTGTGCAGGTTGCTTAAGTCGTGATATGCACAATAATACAATTTAAGAAACTGTTATAAATACTTCACTTGTAATATGGGCTACACCTTTTTACTGCACAACATACGCACGCATTCTAGAAGACAAAGATATTAGTTACTGTTATCGAGTCTTCATAAATGATGACTAAAAGTCTGACAAAAAATAAACTTTGTCCTCGCTGGGATAACATTATCACTTGTTTTACGGACGCTTTACGTATACAAGTACTAATTCGCTTGTAAGTAAAACTAACACGCAGATTTGGTAGAATTTTCTTTGGCTGACACCTGCTATTTGATCCGTGCAATAACTTTTTAAATAACAGAGTTAGCGAGCCATCATAAACAAGCGTTAGCTATTCCGAATAAATGCTGAAGTAAGAATATACAATTCCATACAAATTTAACTACAAAATTACTAGAATAAACTCATGAATTATTTATTACTACTCGGTTATCGAAAATAAAGTACATACTGGTATGTTTTTATGTGAAGAATTATGTGTAACGTAGAAAATTTCAAGAAACAGCTTGTGAATGGTGTATTGAACATTTGACCGAGAGAGCACATGAAAATAATTACCAATAAAAGCGGTGAGATGACCGAAATAGTTCGTGTTATTAATACCAATCTTTAGAGCGCGAAAAAATAAACTCAACACCATCGTAGAGTCGGTTGAACGATTTATCGACTCTTAAATCAATATCGTTCTTACTCTACTTTTTATGCTTTCTTATCCCAATGAATATATTAGCCTATTCGTGTACCTAATATTTTGTCAAATAGCCCTAAGATCATTTCTAATGAGCTAACCTTCCTTATCCTTGGTGCGGAGGCGTACACCGAAAGATTTCACGCGAGAGATTAACGATCGAGTTCTAATGAAGCAGATAAATATAACACTTCAACGAATGTTACAACGAGAATGAAAGTCCTATTTAAAAAAGCCTTCCATTCGAGACCACGGACGCCACTGCGCCGTTGAAAAGGCATCGAAAGTATGGTTCGGGTATTCGTACCGATTGCATCGTCTCGGAGCGCCGTGTTCCTCTTTATATAACACAGCCTTCGGGGCGCCCACGCAAAAGTTAACCCTAACTACTGGGCGTTAAGATTGTAAATGTGTTTCGAGTGTTTTAGCAGGTGAAGCTCGTTTTTCTTCGGAATACAATGGGGCAGCGCGACGCACAACATTGGGGCCCCGAGACGATCGCACGCTGTGAACAATATCCTCGCTAAAACTATTTGAATCGGGTTCACTTTCGCTCTTCGGCGATGGCGGCATGAAGATTAGCGATAGCTATGTATATGGAAGTCACGCTTAAGAGTCCAACGGCACAAATTACCCAATTTCTAACACGAATTTACATCATAAAGAACAATCTGTTAACAAAAGCTTTTGGAGCAGCCTATAAAGTGGAGCGAATTTAAATTAGATAATAAATATTTTAATCGCTTACCTTGTCATGATTGAATACACCATTATAACACTTTTGATATATGCGCTTTGAAGAAAGCTGTAACTGAGAAAGCAAGCAATTATGTCGCAGCAAGAAGATTTTCTTCCCGGGTGAAAGCGACAGAATTTCGTACTTTCCCGGACATCTTCGCATGGTGCGAAATGTGTTCATATTTTATGCGCATTAAGTATTAACTCACTCTCAGTATAAGGAAGTAACGTTGTCTTAATGACATCATCATAAGGCTAAAACTAATATGTATAAAGGCAAAATATTGTATCTCTTTTCTATAAAGGTGATTAGGAGATGGTTTGTGAAGTTGCTTAGATAGATGAGTTTAATTTATAGTAGAATGTAATGAAGTATGAACCACTTTGTAGTAAATAAAAGTCGTTACGATCACAGATCTTAACAAAAACAAAATAGTAAGTAACAATTTTAGAATTAACTCTACCTTGATTTTAATACCCCAAGTATTGGAGCAAACAAGTTGATTTTAAAAAAGAATGATACTCC